TTTGGTTCCAACAATCGATTACGGCATAAAGGTTTTAATTATTGCGGTCTTGGAACTAGCTTTACCAGATATTCGTGTCATGAGCCTAATTATTTGCCTAGTGATAAAGCATTTGCGAGTGATAACGCAAACAATAACATGTTGTGATCCCTGAAGGCAGGACTACAGGCAAAAGCGGATAGAGAAAAGTTTAATTAGAAATATTGGTAGAAAATTTCACGTATATATGTGTTGCAACATATATATGTTACAAATGTTTATGTAAAATTCAATACAAATTTCAAATGTTGACAGGAATATTTACTATATATAATATACTCCTATACGACTGTACATATAATATCTGTGTATTTACTGTTTACTCTGTTTAATGCTATGATTAGAGACAGTTAACCGTGGGATTTAATTATGTTTCTTTGTTTAACTCTTTTAGTACTGTGAATTGAAAATGTATTCATCTTATTGTTAGATTGTTAGGAAAGAGTATGATTACTGGAATTATATCTAAGTTCAGAATTATTCCCAATATCTACTAGAAGATGGGATTTATCACCCTTGACATACAATTCCATTTTAGATTTGCACGTTAATGATGTTTTGCTGTTTAATATCATTCATATGTAGATTGTTTCTAAACTTGATCCTTTCAATTTACACACGAGTTCTATATATATGTACTTCTAAATTGTTGGTTTCGATATGTGTTCGTCACGTTGAAATATCTAACTTTGAAATATTTATCTACCAACTCATAATTATTAATCCTAATAAATAAATGATTCACATTGATTTTTGATTAAAATTATTCTAAAAATATACTGTAATTATTTAATAATTACAGTTTTATACATACATTAATCCCCTATGCCATGAGTATAGTAGATGAAGTATCCAAAAATCTGTATCAAGAGATAAATTTTAAATATACATATATACTTCGCAAATTAATATAACCCCAAACGTGTTAAATAAAATTGACGTTTTTGTTTAATTAGGTGACCAATATTTTCTGTAATTAATGATAATAGTATTCTATGGCGTCATGGATTCGGTTTCCTATGTCTTCTTCTCAGTTGTCAGTTGACTATGGCAAACCGGTATACTATTCACTACCAGATTCAGGTATCCGAGGTGCTTCTCCCAATTACATTTAGTCTGATTGCTTACTTTTAATTAAGGTAGAATAGATCTCTTCGAGTTACTTGATATTTTCTTGAAATTTCCAAGGTTTCTGTTTCTACTTACGGTAATATCAGCTACTAATTAGCGAGATACGAGTTCTGTATACAAACAATATTGTCATTTTACCTATAATTTCATTTTCTGTTAACTATTCAGAAGTAAAATAAATTTTGAGGCAACTATTGCACTACTGGGTAATATTGCAGAGAAGATCCACAAAGTATGTATGGAAAATCATTTCCATCGATATAATGCATTTAAAAAATACGACAAATTTTAATTCATTCGTGTGCTAAAGCAAAAAATTTTGGAAAAAAGAAATGAAAATTGAAACGTACTTCTGATTATTTATTGGATATCAAAGTGGCTAGATGTGATCTTTATTTATACATCATTTATTTGAAAAATTTGCAGTAATTTGTATGTAAATAAGAAATTGTGCTATTATAGTTAAATTATATTCTTATAATAGATATAAACTTTATTATACATTATTTTTTCATCCTTTAGACAATTTAAATTTAAAAAGAAAGAAATGAGTATTATTTGTTTACAAATTTTCAGACTTTCAATCCTTTCACCATTCCTATTTATATCTTTTGTTATTCAACTTTTATTAATATTTTTCAAAATTTTTCGTTTTATTGGACAAAAATTCCTTTCAATTTCATTAAATATACAATACAATTTTATTTAGTAAAAAATCGGTTACTACCAGTGATTAATGATGCTTCGCCCCATTCGTTCTACCTTATTTTCTGTCGGATATTATGCATTATAATATGTAAATAATCCATTTTTCATTGCCTATATAATAATTACATATATAGTAAGTTGCATGTAGATTGTGAAACAAAATATGAATATTTAAATATTTGTGCCATCTCTCATATTGTATATGATCATTTATTTTCAAAGAAACTTTAGATTTTGTCATTGCTAACAAAAGTCGAGCTAAATTTTTCATCCTCAAATTTAATAAGCCACTTGCGAAAACTTTCTATTGCTGCTAGTGCGCAATGCGTTCACATTTACTGTTTCTGTAACATTTATTCCCTTGCGTTCAAAGAAGTCATTAAGTATCGAAAATATACTCTGCTCCTTTTCATTTTTAAAACATTTTATCTGAGAGTCATGTTATTTATCGTAAAAAAATTAAGCGAGTATCTTGAAGATTCGTACAATTTCTCTCATTCTTTATGCAACCAATCTGTTTTACGAACTTACGTGAAAAGTAACCTTTCATGAAGTATGCAGACATATGCTTTGGTTAATTAGAGTTAGTAGGTAATTCGAAAAGTTTGTACCAAGTTTTACATCTGGAAACTGGTTAATAATTTACTTTTGAATTTTATAAAAAAACATATTTATCACTTTCTTCTAGAATGACATTGCATATGTTTTATGAACAAAAATTCCTAAAATTAAAATATTCTTTTATGCTATTTTGTTAAATATTGGTGCTGACCTGATCTTTTATCCCTAGCAAGAATTGTGTAATGCTGAAAGAAAATAAATCTAATGTCTAGAGTGTGTGGTAGGTTTAGTAACACCACTCTTAATTCTTTTGAACAAAATCTTTATGTCTGTTGGGCAACAGAGCTACATCAAGCATTATATTTTGATATATCAAGTGCATAGACAACTTTATTTTCATAATTTACTGAAATTCTCTGTTTTTCTTTCCTGTAACATATCAGATACTATTTCAATTGATTCGAGCGAAAAAAAAATCACTTGAAATTATAATATAATTTCATGCTAATGTCAATAATTATTCGACTGATTCGCATGCGTGCATGCTGTTCTGCGCATTCTATACAGATGATTATTTCTGATGCAGTAATGAACGAAATCGTTTTCCAATAATTAAAAATCAATCCCTGGATGTTCATATTCCAAATAGTTCTTTTCTCTCATTAATTGACAATTGAAGCTATATTAAATAAGCCCAAGTATAATAAACGTTCCTTCTATTAATTTCTTATGGTATAAAATAAAGGTATTTAGACTAGAACCTTCATTACATGAAGCTTTTATTTAATAGTATGTGCTCAATTACAATATTGTATATAAACACACAAAATATTTATTTTCTTTTGTAGAATGAAGTCTATTCTATAATAAATCTGTAAATGAAATTAACATAATAGTCATAATAGTCATAATAGTAATTTGATAATATCGTAATTATAATATAATATTATTATAGTAACATTATAACAATAGATAATAATCAATTATATGACATAAGCTTATATTGTATTATTGTCAAGGTAGAAATAAATAATATCGCTAACTGAGAAAAGCTGCCATATAATTAAAAAATTTAAACGCGCGGAGTATAAAAGAATGAAATATTGCATCTTTTTTATTTTGTATTTCACCAATAATATAATCTCTAAACAACTTATTTTTATTTCATTTCATTTTGTTTTAAATATGAAATAAATCATATTTGTTCTTTTGTTATGAAAAAATTCTATTATATTAACACTTTTATCGATCATTTAAATCATATAACAAAGGTTTTACTGTATTTTAAAAATATAAATCATAAAAGTGCATAAATTTTGTGATATTTTCACAGATATATAAAAAAATTGTTAAAAGAAATAAATAGATACCGGAGTTTTCAATTTCTAACACAGGGGTTAAAATTGCGCATGCTAATATTCGATCTCATTACAGCTAATTAAATTTCCAAAATTCATAGGATCAATTTTGCATATGCCATTTCTGTCTTTTTTGATTAATCGTAAATCAGTAAATTTGAAATTAGGGATATTAGCCATTAATTATTTTAAATATAGGGAATAGGTATATATTTGTTTTAATAACTATATCTTGAGAAAATTATGTAGAATACACTTCATTATGAAAATTAAGGAAATACATTTAGATTCAAAGTACGAACGCGATATGAATGTTTTTTGTGTTGAGTTTTAGATGTATCAAAATTATAGTAAAATGATATACGTGGATTACTCAAACATATTTTATACATAGTGTTGCGTTTCAATCTTCGCATGCAATTATTTCCTAAACTATAACTCATTTCAAAAACTGTTTGAAATAAAACTTATTCATTGCTTTTAGAGGGCACATTTTACCTAAAAGACGCCTTAAAAGTCACCTTACAATCTAAGAAGTACGATAACCTAAATAAAGTTTGTGATCATGCAATGACCTTCTCTGCTTTTCCGAAATAGGATAATTTGTATTTAAACATTTCTCTAAACGAGTTATAGTTTAAGAAGTAATTGCATAGGAAGGTTCAAATGACACACTTTTCATATTTAACTGTTCAGTCGATGATTTACAGATACTTATTCTTACTTTCTTTGTTAGTTATAAATGTACCATTATTTACCGCAATTTTATTTTAATCGTTATAGAGAATTATGTATTTTCGAATTCAAGTTTCTTATTAATAGTATTTCTCGATGTTTCTCGATATTTCTCGATAAACCACAAATGAACGTTGTTTTTCGACGGTTTATTTTACGATACGTTACAATATATGTGCAGTGAATACTATATATTTTAGTTTACTTTTATAAAAAGGCATTAAGAACATGACAAAATTCATTTCCGTGTTATTAGAAACAGACGATTAGGTACATCGAAACAATCGCTTAGTATCGAATAACGGTATACATACATCGTACCGAATTATTCGATATTAAAGTAAGAAATCTAATTATCGTTTATCTTAATACGTAATGACATTCACAAATATCAAAACCATGTCTCAACTTCGAATAAGATAATAATGACTTGGAATGACTAAAAATATTGGGAAATTTCTGTTTCAGTCGGTCAGCACGAATGTGTAATTAACGACTACTACTTTAGAGATTCTTTTGATCACTCGTCATCAGACAGTCAACTGTTGGACGCATCCGGCAAACCACACAGTCCTTCGATGACCCCGGTGCCGAAAATGCAAAAACTTCAAAACTCGAAAGTCTGTCTTCAACAGCAGCAGCAACAGCAATTCCAGCATCAACGGCAACCTAGTCGGCGTTTAAATACTAAATTGAGGCACAAAAGTCTACGAATCACGAGGCTTTTCATTCCAGCTTTTATGCTTACGATGACAGTTTTGTTTATTGTGATCGTTCTGGTATTTGAGACAGACACAACTCTATTCAATAATTTGCGTAAGACGCCAGAAATGGTGGCTTTACAGAACCAATACTATGTCCCCATTAAGGAGTTCTTGAGGACAAAGCTCGGCCTATTTTGATGCGACCCGATGATGACCAGGCTGAGGTCGCCCTTTGTCGCTAAGTAACTTCCTTCAGTGCCAAGTCGAGAAGATGTTGCCGAGACCAAGGAGCGAGAATAACGTTTCTTTGTCATGCGTCCTTTCTTCTTACGTGAATCTACTTAGGGGAGAATAACTTGTTTTTCTTACATTTTCTTTGTTCTTTCTGTTTCCGAATCGACACAGGTACATCGGATTGGTATTTGAACCTTTTCCATTAAGGCTTATATACGTGTAATATATTACTATATCATACGTAATACACAAGTGTTCCGATATTTCGCCAACATCGTAGCTAACTTCATCGCACTTGTTGAACATTCGACAGAGTCACAATTTGAGGAAACAAAAAAAAAAAAAGGAAAGAAAGAAACACGAAAATATAGTAAAAGAAATCAACGACTTCAAATACCAATTTGAGTACTCCATGAAAGCCTCAAAACTGGATATATGTAGATATATCCGTAAAAACTGTCATCTGCGATAAAAAGTACCTTCGATTTATTATTTGTTTACTTTTTGCACTACCACGTATTTATATTTAAATATTAGTAACTTAATATATTTACACTATCGAAGACAAAGTGATTTGTACAAAATATTTACATTGCGAGTTCTCGTGTTTACTAAGTTACATGTAATTCGACGAAGTGTTAGGAAACTTTGTTATAGTACCTTTATCGAATTTATTTCATAAATTTAGGTGAAAGTCAGTTTCTACATATTACTATTCTATAGAATGTGTCGCAGATCGGGAAAGTCATATTTGTATTTACATACAAAAGTAGATTATATACAAGTATGTACGTTTTGAACTTACAATTAGCGATAGAGATCATGGGCAAAAACATCAACTAGTGTGTTGCACAACATATTTTTACTTTTTCTGTATATCGAAACGACGTTATTTCTACTTTCATTTTAAAGTAAGAGTGTACCATGTATCAGAATTACTGTATTTTCTAATGGATAAAATTCGAATCAAAATACAGTGTTTTTCGTTTTAAAACGTAAAATTTTTATTAAATACTTTACGTAACGTCCGATTTTCTTAATGAACGGTATATTTCTAACCCTGTTATAATAAATATCTTAACATTCATAATTACTTTACAATTTTTCTTTAAAGTATATATATATATATATAATGCTCGCTAATTTACATAATGTATGTAGTTACTAAATTTGCTAAAACAATTTAGCATAAAATTTATTAAATTTAACGTTCAAAACTAATAATGTATTTGATTCTTTGTTAGAAAATGCAGTGATCGAATAAATACGCTAATACACGGTTAAATGAGTACTTAATTTTCAGTTTTTATAATAGTACAATACACATAGGATTCAGCATGCGCAATCATAAACATTATTCGTTCGTGAATGAGTAAGCAACGCTAAAAACTGTATGCGTAAAATTTGCTTCTAAATTTTTAGTTCTCGTAAAATATTTATGGTTATAACGAACTTTTATAAGGCAATTTAATAGAACTTGTAAGATAAAATCGGGCAATATAAGATGCAATCAGATAGTATACATATAAAAAACGTTTCTTGTACTTTTATTCTAATGTTATCGATGTTTTCCTAGAAGTACGTATAAGGAAAATAGTCATGCTTCCTAACCTTTGTATTGGCATGCAACGAACAAATATCGATCGATCGATATTCATTGTGTCGTATCGGATGAAAAATCTTTTTTTATCAGTTTTAATTTTCATTTATACATCGACGTGATAAATATATACGCGCAGAATTCAGTGTGTGTGTACGATAGGATGAATCGCCAAACATTAACGTACAATAAAAGTTACTTCTGTTTTTGGTGATATCGGAAAGCGTTTAAAACAGTCATTCATCAGAGAGAGTAAATAATATAATGGCAATAATTTTTCACGACACATTGCGTATTTCGAAATGCTGAAATACATTATGCTGAAGAGAATATTTTTATTTATGGACTAACATCGCTAAGAAAACTGCGATTGCCACAAAGTATAAAGCATTCTTTTCAATGACCTTTCAATGAGTTGAGTGTTACTAGCTTGCTAGTAGTTATAGAGTTATAAATACTTATGTGGAATGTCCGAAATTGAATTAATTTGCAAATCATAATGCGTAGACACTGAAAATTTGTATAAGAAATTTTATAGATGCATAAAGCTACTTATTTTTACAGAAAACTATGAAATCTTGGAATGCATGATATTAAGAGATATAGAATATTTTCATCTCGATACAATGCTTACGTGATAGAAAAGAAAGAATGTTTTGCCAACCATACGTTAGTGTCATCAAAAACAACAAAGTGGGTTTAAATTTTAATGTGTCACGATTCATCCTGAGATAGTTGTAAAAGTTTATTCTATAAATTCTGTTTGAGATGTTGGATTGCTTCCAAGGAGTACACAGTGAATCATTAGAATGATTATCCAAACAAAGTAATCTATTTTGGATCCAAATATGCTTAAAATAGAATCAATCTGTTTTTATATATTTGTGAATGAAAAATGGAATTCGCATTTTTCTACCTTAAAATATAACATTTTAGGTTGCGTTTTAGTATCATTAGAAGGCTTTCCATTTTTGACTTGATATTTATAGTACCTGTGCCAGCTGACCACATACAAACATTTGTACAATCGCTAATATTCTTATAATCTTACTTCAAAACCATTATTTCTAAACAATTTCTTATCTAGTCATGTTATTTTTTCTGCAAATCACAAAAGTAAACATTACGACATTAATCTGATGCTTTGAATAACACGAGAAAGTGATCTGAAAAGTACATGAAAATAACATTACGTATATGAAAAGCAGCATTTGACTAATGTGAAAGATAAAACATAGGGTAGAAGAATTAAGAGTTTGTTCTTGATATTAATTTTAATCACTTTCCTTAATATAAATCAAATAATCAGTAAATGCTTTTCTGCGATAGGTTTTTAAAAATTATGGTTTGAATGGAGGAAATAAAAAGCAGTATTAACAAATAACGTGACCTTCGTGAAGACCAGTTCTTTTTGTACGCAATCATATTGGTGGCAATTACTTACATGTAATATAAAAGTTTAAATGCTTTATTAGTAGCTAGTATACTTGGTATGCAGTATATTTGCATAGTACTAGTATTAGATAGGATCGCATGTTTCCTCTTTTTATGCTTAAGTCTCTGTAACGTTTGACCAAATTTTAGAATTTTAAACATTTTTCAGTACTTTCGTGAATATTTAAAATCGAGTATAAAAACTTTTCTATACAAACCAAAATTTGTAATGACAAATCATAAAAACTTCTCACTAGTTTCAGTGGCTTTTTATTTAAGCTGGTTTTATAGCGATATATCGCGTGCAGCACATAAGCATATACATTTTATTATTACTATTTCACGAGCAATTTATACAAATAAATTGAAAGAAATTTGTCTTACTTATTTTTATATTAAAAATGCTTGCAAAATGTAATTATGTATGAATTTATTATACTAACTGTTAGACGATTGCTAGCATCAGCATTTGTTCGTTTTTCAACATTCAAAGAAGATGAAAGAAAATTTCATTATTTCATCAAGAAAATCTGTTAGATTTCTTAACAAATTGAACATAAAATTATACACTCGATGACCTTTCTTTGTTTTGCCTGTTTTTTGAAAATTTGTAGTGAGGAACGATTTTTATTTGTTTCGATGACGATAATGACCACGACACTTTCTCTTTACCTATAAAAAGGACAATTTGGCCATCTATAGCAATATTGGCTCAAGTTTTACGTAAGAGTGAATTGATCATCCCAAAACTACTATTTTTCCTTTAAAAACTGAGATACAAAAGAAATTTACAGTAGATTTGCTGATCATTTTTTTCAATCTTCTTTTCTTCGCATTAAAATAGGACAAAATTTTATAAATATTACGAAATTTTACAAAAGTAAACTTGCGACTTTTTGTGTTTTTATAATAGAACATATTTATCAAATACTCAAACACTACAGTGCCTCGTTATTATCGATTAAATAGGACTCTTCAATATCGACTTCATCATCCATTCTACATTATCAGAAAGAGTCGAAACGTAGAATCTCTTTTATTTCTTTCAAGTTTGTAAAATAAAGAAAATGGATACGAATGACTGGAAAACAGTCGATTATAATAGCAGACAATCGCCATTACATCAACTAACAAAATACATTTGTCTTTTTTACCAATAAAAACGATTTTATTGGATTGGCAATAGATACAATCTCTCTGATGAACACTATTAATCGACAGTTTAGGTGATCCCATAGAAAAGCACACTCGCGAGTCCAAACGGACTTAAAACTTGATTTTGCTCGTATAACTATTATGAACAAAGATTTTTCTTTATTCGTAAGGGAATTTCTACTTATAATATTTATCGTGATTAAATAATTGGATAATACCCAAAGAATAAATAAAATTAATATTTATTCTGTATTTTTGCAATGTGCATTAGACATTTTTTTTCTTATAACTGATTGTTCTCGATACGTGTAGATATTACATACGATACTCTTGGTTCTCTATTTGTTGTCTAGAACCAATAACTAGAATTCCAATTGTACGTTCTGGTAGGATTTTTAATGATTTAGAACACGGATTGTAAACATTTACACGCGATTATCTGTTGCTATCAAACCAGCCTAATAAAATACAACGGATATAAATATTACGATATTTCACAGAGAGCTCGAAAATTATGTGATCAAACGCTGCATTCCACGAGTAAAAGCGACTGAGAAAATGCTTCTTCGCCACGTTACATTAGGAAAAGAAAAAGAAAAAAAAACGTAGATCGTTCGTTTTCCATTCCAAAATGCAATGCTAGTTTGACATCATAGAAGGGATGAGTTAATAATGATTTGAACGTTTAACGTCTACCTTACTTTAGTTCAGTAAGTGCCAAATTAATCTCTTCGGTAAGTGTTTGTCACAATGTGTTTTGCTGTTTATGTACACAAAATATGTTTTGCAATTTTCTCTAGACAAAAATCAAACAATGTTTAATCTTGGGGATCAAAAAGATGCATTCACCGCGGATCATTAAACAGCGCAGTTGAAACAAATGTATCGTCGTGTATTCTCACTTATATTGAAATTAACGTTCATCGCGATACATCTGTATATCGTTATACTTATACACGGATATTGTGAAAATTGGATAGATTTTTT